AGAGACGGAGCAGGCCGACCACCAGCTGGCCCAGCCCAAGGGAGGTAAGGCACCTGCCGGAAAAGGGGAAAAAATGGCGGACAAAAAAAATGGTGGACAAAAAAAATGGCGGACAGCCTTGCTTGGCGACCCCCGTGAAATGGTCGATCGACCCCAAATGGGGTCCCGACCCACAGGTTGAGAACCACTGGTTTAGATCAAGACCATGGCATAGAAGAGAGTAGTTTTATATCTCATCAGTGCCATTTTCCTGCCAGAAGCTACTGAGAGTTGTCATGAACTTCAGACCTTTTATTACTTAGCTTATCATTGGGGCTGTTCAGAAGTTGCCTAACAGAGAAAATAAAATTTCAATTTCAAAAAGCTGTTGGAAACTTCTCTTACATGCTTCCTCCCATTCAGTCTTCATTGACTTTATTTGAACTAATCTGACTCATCTACCCATTTTTTTAAAGTGATGGATCAAGAAGCTAGAGAGAAAATTGTGTACAAATAAATTTGAAAGAGCCAGAATCAGATGTGAAGTGCTAGAGGTAAAGCATAGCTCAATAACTTCAGAGATTTCTTCTGGACAAATAATAGTGATGTGTGCCCATTAGATCTTCTCAGAAGCAGTCAGATCTTTGGAAGCTGGCTATATGTGCCAAATCTTGGAATTTTGGTGCCAAAGTGTTCTAAAATAGAATATTTTGCATTCTTGTCTAAAGGTCTACAGTAACTACAGATACTGTATGTGCTCACTTGTAAACCTGAAGTTGTAAAGCTATACTTCTAAGTTTTTCATCTACATTAACCTCCTTTGCAGTATGTATTAAAAAAAACCCTGAATATATTCCCCCTTTCCATTTGTCAAGCTTTAATCTCCGCATTCCATTCTGTTGACATATCCTACTATTGTACTGCAATATTACTCAGTCTCCTTCCTGAATCATAACTTCCAAATTAGAGGCGGTGCTTTCTGCGTCATAGAACTTGCAACATATGAAAGTGATAAATAAAACTCAAAACTTGTTATTTTTTAACAATTAGAATGGCTTAAATTATATTTATAATTCTTTCTATTAGATACATCAGGCTAGTCAGGGAAAAAAATGAAGAAAGTTGAATATTGAAAGTTGATTATGAGTCCTACATCACGCTAATGCTTTTTCAATAATCAGAAATTTCCTATTTCTGAAATACAATTTGTTAGGATTCCTGGAAATTAAAAAGAACATTCTTACTGACATGTTTTGATGTATTGTTAACATGAGGTGAAAGGTATTTTCAAAAATACCAGTAAAAGACAGTATGTCTGTATGTGCATGTGTGTGTATTCTATGCTGAAGCATCTCAAAATAGTTTACAATATAAATAAAATGATGTATTATTTCATCACTGTTTCACTTATCCTGTAAATCACATTAAAACAAACCCCAGGGGTAGGCAACCTTGGCTCTTTTATGACTCGTGGACTTCAACTCCCAGAATTCCTGAGCTAGCCATGCTGGCTCAGGAATTCTGGGAGTTGAAGTCCATGAGTCATAAAAGAGCCAAGGTTGCCTACCCGTGCCCTAAGTCATTCCTTTTTCCTTTTATGTTTGTATTTTATTATTGATTTTTGAAATTTAATAAAGATATTTAAGGAAAAATATAAGAAGCAATACATTAAAAATATGTGGATAAATTATATATTAGAGTTCATTACTTCTGAAAGTTAATCGTTGCTCAGTACTGAATGCAGTTAGTCTGGGCTTTTGAAGTTGTATTCTTTCTATTTTACTCCTTTAGTTTTATGGGTTGAATGTGTACACATGGTATTCCTGATCTTGTAACAGTTAGAAAATGAAATAAAATGTAAACATATTAAGAATAGAAGAACTGGGAATGGAATCAGAAGGAGAGAACAGTTGGAATAATACTATCCTTGATTTTTTTACGGCTAGGGAGAAATCTTTGATGGAATGTAGTCTGGATTCCCAGGAGGGAGGGGTGCATTCCAAAGAAAGAAGGGACTTCTTTAGATAGTGTGTGTGATAGAAAGAGGGTGAAGATAACCCTTCCTAATAATTCCCAGAATATGTTTCCTGTAGGTAATAGTCTGCTTTAGTTTGGCAAGATTCTGTTTATAGGTGTGGAACAATAAACAAATCTGCTTGGAAGTATCACTATGTGTCTTTCTTGATTGTTGGAACCTGACAAGAAACTTTGTCAAGAAAAATTATGATGTAAGGGGAACACTAAATTTGTCACTGCTATTTTTTAAAAGAACTTAAGGCTTCTTATATCAGTAAATGTTCTGTGCATTATTATAATTTATGCATACACTGAAATAGTAAAATGAATTAGATGGTCCTGTGCAGAAACTAATTATGAAGATGTTTGGCTTTCTAGATCCTTGATTAAAGCAATGGGGGGAAAAAAGGAAATATTTGGATTTTTTTTAAAGAGCTCTAGGGTCTTTTTTGCTTGTTCTGTCAGATTAAAAAATGGTATTATGAATATTTCCTAATTTTTTAAAATACTATATGAGGCAATTAAGATGAAAAGGAAGTTGGTCTATATTTGGAATTTTCACACTAAATCAAATTAACAAATGAAAGGGCAGAAAGGTTCTTCTTAATACTGTATAGATATATTTTACAAAAGAAGTAAAAAATAGTAGAGTCAGAAATTAAAATTGACTATGCAGTGCTTCATGTGGTAAAATGAGTATTTTAAGCTTTGGTTTCACCCACCCATTTCCTCTGTCAATTAGTGCTTCCTGTATTTCTTAAAAATATGTCTCTTTGTTTTAATGTGATGTTATTTACTGATATTTTAACATTACATTTTTGTCTGTTTTTTCTAAAATAGGAAAAATGAAACAATATTTTTAAATAAATTGCAATTCATTTATAACAAAAATTAAATTACTCAAAAGTAAATTCAAACAGTAGGTTTACAGTTATTACCTGAGCAAAGTGTGCTTTTTAATGTTTAAAATGAACATACTTTTACGAACAAACCAATGAAGTTAATAACTAAATGAAGTAATAATAATGCTGAAAATGAGTTGCATATTTTGCATTTCCTTTAACATTTCTAGTTTTTTTCCCCTGGTTGCTTCACATTTATAAAAAAAACCCATTGCATTTCTAATCATAACCGTGAAACTTAGTTTTAGATCAGGAACGGATAAATTGCCCTCAGATCCCTGTCAGCAGTTGTAGTTATTGGCAGCATAATTTCTGCAATTTTGGATAAAAACAAATAAAAAAGCAGTATAAGCACTAAGTAGTCTTAATGTAGTTTAAAAACAAACACAAGAAGTAGAAAAATTATGACTCCATACAGATGCGTGAGAATTGACCCTTTCCACTTGGCGTCATTATCATGTGTATGGTATCTCCTGTTTTGCTCAAAAGATTGTAGATGTGTTGGAGTCAATCTTAAAAAAATTCCTCACATGAAATAGGAGCATTGAAAACTAGCTGCACAAACTTCCTGACAGTTAGAACAATTAACCAATGGAACAACCTGCCTCCAGAAGTGGTGAATGCTCTAACACTGGAAGTTTTTAAGAAGAGACTGGACAGCCATTTGTCTGAAATGGTATAGGGTTTCCTGCCTGAGCAGGGGGTTGGACTAGATGACCTCCAAGGTCCCTTCCAACTTTATTATTATTATTATTATGGACCATCGCACAGTCAGCCAGATGTTCAGACTGGATTTGGCATTTTGTCTACCTATTATTATTATTATTATTATTATTATTATTATCATCATCATCATCATCATCATCATCATCATCATCATCATCATCATNAAAGTTCATCATGGGATATTCTTTTGTTTCAATTTAATTGTAAATGATGTGGATATTACATTAGCTCAAATATTTTCAAGAGACTAACACCATTGTTTTTTGTTTGTTTTTAAGTTTGTTAATGTATTTCATTGGGGCAGCTGTAATTCTTTGGTTTTATTATTTAGCGTATGATGAGAACATGACAGAAGAGTAGTAATTATTATTTAGCGTATGATGAGAACATGACAGAAGAGTAGCCCTCAAGACATGGCTTTTCCAGCAAGCGGGTCTGGCCTAGGGAGAATTTTAAATAGGGACAATTTTAATTAGAATTTTAATATTATACAGCGGTTAAATATTTGTTTTAATTGGGTTTTATTGGGGATAGTATTTGTATTGTTTTAATATGCTGTAAGCCGCCCTGAGTCCTGTTGGGAGAAGGGCGGCATATAAGTTTAAAAATAAATAAATAAATAAATAAATAAATAAATAAACATATACATACAATTATATACAAAACTTCTATGGGGATATGGCAGTGGCCTCATAACTGGATGTTCAATTCAGCTTTATTTATGATGATGATGATGATGATGATGATGATGATGATGATGATGATGTCACTATTTTATAATCCCAAAATGCTTTTAGAACATGAATGTCATATTTCATCATTTGTACCTGACTGTGTTTCTGAAATGTCAATGCCACTAAAATACGCTAATTTTCTGAATTAAAATTTAAGGCACTTCTCTTGATGATTTTTGGAAAGTTTACACTGATGTTGTATAGAACTTGTTGTGATAGAATGTAATGTGAGTTTCTGGACATCTCTCATAAATGGGAAAAGAGATCATAGAGCACGGACTCCAGGATTTTCCTTTAAGAACACCTGTTTTTGCTGCATCACTGTGATTGAATGATCCATTCATTCAGAAATGCTGGGCAGAATTATTCACCTCTCCTGCTGTGGAGGAGACAGAGCTGGAACAGTAATTCATGCTGAGGTGCTACAAAGATTTGTGCTGTCTCACAAATTTGTATCTTGGGCTTCCATGAGGCTTTAATTTAATTTGTGTAATGTATATCTCATGGTTCAGTACTTGAGAATTTCTTAATGCAATGGGTTGCTTTTATCCTGCACATTTTCAGTTAAAGAGAAAACATTGAACACACATTTCTTGTAAATGTATTATCGCCTAGTAATTTTTCCCTTTATTTTCTTTACAAGATATTTGATTTAATGGATGCAAAGGCACGTGCAGATTGTATTAAGGAAATTGATCTTCTTAAGGTAATTTTCTTGTCTTTTCTGAAGTGAATGTATTCCAGCATTACTATTTTGATGATAAAAGAAGCAATAAGTTATTGGATATAGGTAATTTTATGCATGTCGTTACATATGAGTAGCAAGCTATCTTAGCTTAGAGTTTCACTGAATAGTCAATAGGTCAGTTTGAATTAAAATTTTATGTCAGATTCACATTCATCTGTGGAATTTGAAGCAGACTAAATCTGGCCTAGTGACTTGCTTCCTGGGGGAATGAGAATGAATCCTGAAAAGGCACCAAAGGTCTTCCAGCTACTTAAAAGTGTGAGTGAACAGGTCTCACCTACTGATCTTACTATACACCAGATGTACTTGATGAAGTGAGCCATAATTTAAGAACTTTACCCAATAATAAATTGATCCAAACTTTAAACCAAAGATCCTATATGAATTTTTGTTATTTTTCTCTATAGACTAATGCGGCTTTCCATCTAGAAATTAATTTCAACATACACATTTTAAAAGTTTTGGGTGCCTCTACTCCACACAGTAATAGATTATATGTCATATTTTAAATTAGAACATAACTTAAATTTTATTTTAAGTTACCTATAATTTTAAAAAGAATCAGTGTTTGCTCATGGATTATAGAGTTCTTTTTTTTTTAACATGCTAACTTTCTCTACTGCCTTCCCTTACTTTGAAATAGGTTTATTATATGGGTGGTGTGATGAAGGCACTGGCCAAGGAACATAAACATATTCACAAAAAGAAAAAACGCATAGCTGAAATGATTTATATATATTGTATTACACTTGAACCAATTAGTGTATTTTTTTGTTGTCAAACCTTGTAAAGCAGGGGTCTTCAAACTTGGCCCTTTTATGACTTGTGGATTTCCTGGCTGAGGAATTCTGGGAGTTGAAGTCCACAAGTCATAAAAGGGCCAAGTTTGAAGACCCCTGTTGTAAAGTAATTGGTTTCCATTTTGCTTTATTTTTAAAATGTTTCTAAAATCTATCTTAATAGCAGATAGTGTTTGCTAGAGGGAAATATCTGTTGCTTGTTTTAAGTTTTTATTATAACATATGATTTTAAAAATTAGTTAAGTATGTAACCTATTTTTCAGTTATTATGTTTACATCTTTTATTCATACAGATAGCTCTTAACTTACAGTATGTCTAGTCATTTAGTGACCGTGCAACATTACGGCACACTTGCCCGGGGCTACTCACGTAGCTCATTGAAATTCTGATGGCTAGGTCAATTGCCCACAGTCACATTATCGCATTTTGGGTGCTCAGCAACTGACCCCACATTTATGACTATTTGCAGTGTCCCGAGGTCATGTGAGCACAATTTACTACATTTTTTTTTGCCAAAAAACGGCATTTACTTCAGTTTTCAGCAAAAAATGCCAGTTTTCAGACAGTGGATACGCTTAATGATTGTGGTCTTTGCTTTATGACTGCCACATTTGTATAACAAGCCACCCCAAGAAAGGTTGTAAAATTGAGAAAAGTCCTTAACTATCAGCATGACTTATGTCCATAATTCTGAGATCAATTACAATCATAAGTCAAAAGACTATCTGTACAATTGTACATTAATCTGTCCATAATTTTATCTTTTCAAAAGTTATCTTCTGCAGCATGCTTGAAATGATACATCAAACCTTTGCACTTTGCACTGGAAAAGCTAAAGTCTTTAGGTTTTAAATTATTTTATGTATTATTTTATGTACAATGCTATATTACTCCATTGAAAAGAGCAGCATTCACTAGAGTTAGTATTGGAATCAGCCACTCTGTCAACAGTGTTTCTCAACCTTGACAATTTTAAGGCATGTGGACTTCAACTCCCAGAATTCCACAGCCAGCATTGCTGGCTGTGGAATTCTGGGATTTGAAGTCCACATGCCTTAAAATTGTCAAGGTTGAGAAACACTGCACTATGAGGAAAAAAAATGGATTTTTTTTTAAAAAAAATGCCAACATTGGGCGTTGGCAGAAGATAGATCCTTGCAAGAACAGGTTTCAGCATAGAGAAAACCTATTTCCTAATTGTCACTAAGCAGTTATTTGTATTCTATTGTATAGCCAATATGTTGAATGCTAGTGACTACTTGAACAAATCCCTGCCAGGTTTCTTAAGACTTCCAGAAGTGCTTTGCCATTGCCTTCTTCCTAGATCTGAGAGAAAATGACTGGCCCAAACTCATGAAGTAGCTTCGGGCCTAAAGCTAGACTAAAACTTACTCTCCTGGGTTCTAGCCCAGTGCCTTTAACCACTATGTTAAACTGGCTCTATAAATAAAACATAATATTTAATTTTATTATAATTGTATTATATCTTAAAAACAAAATGCATTTTATATTACAATTATAAATGCTATAAATATAATTAAAATTTAAAAATAAAATATATTTAATTTTATAATAAAAGAGGAGAAGATCCTGAAAACTTGTCTACGGAGATTCTTAGTCATCCAGGTCATGGTTTTCCCAAAGGTGATTTTTTTTACAAGGCAACTGAACTTGTTTTCTTTGAAGACATTTCGTTTCTCATCCAAGAAGCTGAAAGAAGCTTCTTGGATGAGAAGTGAAATGTCTTCAAAGAAAACAAGAAAGTCCAGTTGCCTTGTAAAAAAAACACCTTTGGGACAGCCTGAAAACTTGAGTTTGGTTTACTTTTGCTGCCTTAACAAGGATTGCATTGATTTGTAAGTTGGGGGTTCTTCCAAGTATTTTTTTTTTCTTTTCTAAACCTGGTGAGTATGGAAAGAATGGATTTGAAATAATGTTTTAATTATAATTTTAGTTATAAAATAGGAAAAGTTATTTTCCCACTTGGGGAGATTTAAATGGCAGAGTAGTAGTTATCATTTTTACTACTGGTGTATTGTATCTCTGAATAGTAGTCTGTAGGCTGAAATATATTTGTTTTCGTAGCAACTGAACCACCCGAATGTAATCAAATATTATGCATCATTTATTGAAGACAATGAACTAAACATTGTGCTGGAATTAGCAGATGCTGGAGACCTTTCTAGGATGATCAAGGTATGTGTTTTTCTTGTTAGAACGAATTACATATAGATATTTATTTTGATTAATGATAAGGAGTAAATTTCATTCAATCTAAAAAAAAATAGCTAATGTTGTATTTCATATAATAGGTATATGTACATCTTATTTAGTCAATTGAGACTTTTACAATATAACCAGCTGCTAAAGATTATATTTTATTGTCAAATAAATTATATAGGATAATATAGATAAAAGAAAAACAGAATTATTCCCCAAATTTGAACATGAGCCCGAATAGTATAATTGGATTCCTATGCCCTTCAAGTTTTACCCAGAATTCAATTATAAAAACTAATTTGAACTTGAATATGTGATAAATAAGAATGGGTCCACCAGCCATATTTATATTTGGGAGCAATTGTGTCTTCGGAATACACATATTGCCCCCCAAAAGACACGTGGATACTTTCCAGCAGTCATTCTCCAGTTTATTGTTTGGAAGTTGCTTACAAAAATTCTATACAATTCTCTTTCTATTGTTTGGAAAGATGAATTAGGAATTAGTATGGCAATTGGTAGAGTTTTTTTTTAATACCTATTTTTGGATTCTCTAAAGTAGAACTGGAATCAATACTGAGGCAAATAGCCTATCATGATCCCTTCTTTCTTCACCTATATTTCACCTTATCCCCTCCCTCTATATTTCCTTTTTTGATTTGTTTCTATAACATTGTAAGTGTATTGTGTTCCAAAAAGAGCATACATTTATTTATACTTAAAAGTAGATTAATATTAGCAGGCAAAATGAAACATGTTTTGGCTAAATTTTTGTAAATCAATGCAGTAAATATTTTATACAACATATAAAATAAGGAAGTACTCATCTTTCAGTATTGTTCATTGGTCTACGACCAAAATAGTTATTAATTATGCACACACACACACACACACATGTATGTTCACACACATATTTTCAGTATTATTTTTTTATTCACATCTCTAAAAGATGTTACATTGAAGAAGATAGTACATAAGTATAAAATATGAGGATTCTGTGAATCCCCAAAGAAATTAATGCCAGAGAATTAATATAGAATATCCTTGCACTCCTCTGCTATAAATGAAAATCCTTAATATATTTTTCATATTTCACATTACATTAAATATAAAATACAAAAAATATGTAAACCCACATTTATGGCCATTTGCAGCATCCCACAGTCACATGACCACAATTTAAGACATTTTTTGCCAGATTTCTGGTGAACAATGGATTCACAACTGGGGCATTTGCTTAATGATCACCTCAGAAAAAATGTTATAAAATCAGGCCAATCATGTGATGACTTGCTTAATGATCAGCATGACTTATGAATAACAGAATAACAAGATTTGCAAGGGACCTTGGAGGTCTTCTAGTCCACTCCCTGCTCAGGCAGGAAACCCTATACCAGGGGTCGGCAACCTGAAAAAGTGAAAGAGCCACTTTGACCCGTTTTCCTCAGAAAAGAAAAAACTGGGAGCCGCAAAGTGTGCGTGCGTGCGCGTGCACAGAACAGGGAACTTGATTGAAGAGGCTGGATCAGCTTCATTTTCTTCCCTCCGAGGCCAGAACCCCCCAACGCCCCTCCCCGGTTCTGATCCAGAACCCTGAATCGGTCCCTTCCAGCGAGTTGCCAAGCCTCCCCTCCCTCCTCCTTCCCTGGCAGCTACTATATTTAAATTTGCTTTTTCTTGGGTGGCTACAGAGCTTCCTTCATTTTCTTTCCTTCCTATCCCTCTTCTCCCCCCCTTCCCCCCACCTTCCCTTCAATGCCCTTGCGCTGCGGTGTATTCTCCTCTCCCATACATGTTAAATTTTTAAAGTATGGGCAGCTCTGCCGTCCTGGCTTCTCCCCTCAGAGAAGACTGCTCTCCCCCCACGCCGCGCTCTCCCTCTCTGGGACTTTCTTCTTTCTGCCCTTTGGCGCGAAGGTTCCCAGGGAGCGGAGGAGGAGGCTGATGGGGAGAAAGAGCTGCTGCAGCAAATCTTCCAAGGCGGCAGTAGACGGCTGCTCGGGCTCGCCTATCAGCCTGCTGCAGGAGGCCGGAGTTCTGTCTCCGGAGGAAGGCAAAGGGACGCAACTGCCCGTTCGCCACCCCAGCTGAGATTGCTGCCCGGCCCGGCGAGACACGTGGCCAGCTTGGCTTCCCAGGGAGCGATGCCCCCGCCAGCCGCCGCCCCAGCCATGACTGCCACCCAGCCCGGCCTGGGGAGACACGTAGCCAGCTCGGCTGCCCAGGGACGGCCCAGGGAGCGATGCCCCCACCGGCCGCCACCCCCGCCAGGACTGCCACCTGGACCGGCTCGGGGAGACGCGTGCCGGCTCGGCTGCCCAGGGAGTGATGCTGGCACCGGCCACTGCCCCAGCCTGGACTACTGTCCAGGGGGCAGCAGGAGGAAGAAGGGGAGGAGGAGGGTGAGAAAGCTGCCGCCGGCGGGACTCCACGCTGCCCGGCCTCGCCCTCCGCCCATCCGATGTACCCGCGGCAGGCCGTGGCGGGGGCTGGTGCCGCACGGGCTGCTGGCCCTGGCCACGATGCTGCGGCTGCTCTGTCTGACCGGCCATTGCCAGCCCCTTCGCCGGCCCGGCTGCTCCCTCCCGGGCACCCCTCTTGCCCCGGCACCCGCCCGAGAGCCAGCAGGAGGAAGAAGGGGAGGAGGGTTGAGGAAGTCGCTGCCGCCACCCCAGCTGCAACTCCACACTGCCCGGCCTTGCCATCCGCCCATCTGATGTAGCCGTGGCTGGCCGCGGTGGGGGCTAGTGCCGCGCGGGCCACTGGCCCTGGCCGCAATGCTGCAGCTGCTCTGCCTGACCAGCCCCTCCGCCGGCCTCGGCGGGCCCCCTCGGGCGCCCCTCTTGCCCCGCCGCCCGCCCGAGCCGCCCGTGGGGCAGCAGGAGGAAGAAGGGGAGGAGGAGGAGGGTAAGGAAGCCAGGAGGAGGCTCTCCTCTCCTACCATTGCTGCATCTCCCTCTTCCTTCACGGCAGCCAGGACTCCGGGTGCGCCTTCCCGACTGGCGGGGCCAATGGTCGCGCTGGCTGGGGATCGCAGGGGCTGCTCTCCCTTGGGCCGCGGCTTGTGGGAGGGCTGGCCCGCTCCCAGCGGGGATCCCAGGGCTTCCCCACACGGCTCCACGGCCACGTGCGCCTCGGATGGGGCCAGCCCGGGAAAGGGAATTTCTGGCGCGCTTCTCCCAGGGGGTGGGGCACCCGGGCGCTCCAGAGCCGCAGGTGGCTCAAAGAGCCGCATGCGGCTCCGGAGCCGTGGGTTGCCGACCCGTGCCCTATACCATTTCAGACAAATGGTTGTCCAATCTCTTCTTTAAAACTTCCAGTGTTGGAGCATTCACACATGAGTGTACTCAAATACAGTTCTGAGTTGAGGAGTACCTGTATAGCAACACAAACAACATACTCTATTATCAAATATTTCAGTAACCAAATACAACATTTAGAAATAAACATTTGGTGAACTTATAGAGGGGCAACTTATTTAAATTTATATTCTAAAGATATCCACTTTTGTTTTTTCTCATTGACATATTGTTTAAAAAGTCCAAAAGTCAAATATTTCATTTTTCAATTTGTATATTTAAGTAAATAACTATAAAATGAGTATGTGTAATATATATATATTTCATAGCTATGCTATTTCTTTGTTTCATTTCATCCTAATTTTTCTTCTACCACAATAGCATTGTTCTTCAGACTATATTAGTTAAAAAGTCAATACAGTGTCTCGTGTTTGTTGAAGTACAATTTTATTTTGCTACTACACTTTGAAAATAGAAGTTTATTTTGTATGTTCCTTGGAAGAGAATACAATAAATTTATTTTTTACTTTGAATAATGTTTTTTGCTAAAATGACAGTTTTAAGTTAAGCTAATTAATAGGATACATAGATGGATAATATTTTGGTAAATTAACCAAACTGAATGCATTTGCTTAAGTAATACTGTGTGTTTTTCTCTTTTAAACGTGTAAGGCATATTAATATAATCTAGCTACCTATTTTTAATTTTGGCCTTTTTATTTGGCACAGACAAGGTATGAAATAGTTGTCTTCCTTTTAATTACCTTGCTTTTAATATATATTCTTTTATTTTGATTCCAGTGATATGGTTGGCAGTTTCTTTTGAAAAATTATAAACTAAAAATAATTTTATATAGTTTTCTAGATTTACAGAATTACTTATTACAGGAACCTTCCATAATATTCCACATTATGTAGAGGTGTTAGGCTTCCATTCCAATTTTGGGAGAGTATCAGAATGGGAATGCTGATTTACTTTTAATACCGTTACCTCTTAGGTAGTTCTTCAGAGAAGACAGTTCTGAGTGTAATCATATCCTTGTATAAATCACGGTTTGAATCTATGGTTAGTAAATTTACCAGTTAATGTTACTGTACTTGACTCTTTCCCCCCTGCTGTTTTAATCCAGGTTTTGTTTATGGTCAGATTTGATTCTATTCCCCCCCCCCCATTCTGTTCAATGGTATTTTCAGTTGCCTCTTAACATACACATCATGTTTTATGTAGTGAATTCAGATTACCATTTGAAGTTAATGACAGCTTGATCTGGCTATGTTTAAATATGCATAAGGTGTCATGGCATAGTAACATTTTCCTAGTTCTTGTACTATGAATTTATGTTAGAAATATAGGAGGGAAGGAGGGAGGGAGGGAAAGGCAGTAAATGCACTTCCAGATACTTTTTAGGTGACAGTTTGAGGAGAAATCGTATGTAACACAATAGAAAAACGATAACGCCTCTAAATGTGCATTGTTTATTATGTGAATAGAGAGAATCAATAATTAAACTCAAGAAGCAGTAATTAAATTAAGGTATTAATGGGCTTCTGTCCCTGCTTTCATTAGATTCTTTTGGTCTATATTTGGCATGGAATTGTAGCATTGCGCATTCTTTGAAAACAGTTGGAGGCCCTGCTGACTATAGGCATCACACCTCTTGGCTATTCATTAAAGAG